TGTTAGGCTTTGGTATTGCTATTTGTTCTGCTACAGGTAGGAATGGGATAAACCAGTATTGCACCCTCAGACATTTCCTTAGAATAGTCCTCAGGAGCAGAACTGCTGAGTCCCAGAGTTTCGATGTGTTTTACAGAACACACCCAACCAGGAAGACCAAGCGTTTCCTACATCAATACCTTCTCTCCACACCCGAGAGATGGTTCAGTTCCACCTGTTTTAAGAGATGTCAGAGGGAAAATAAGCTAAAATTTCTAGTGCTAGCTCTTTACTGTTAACCAGTGAGCTGTTTAGAATATGTTACTGAGTTCTGCCAAGAAGAACTAAGGTGTGAGGTGCTCCACATCTGGTCCAGCCTTTCTGCTTAGAGGTGACCTCGGGCAATGGCAACCGGAAATGAGGTACCACTGTCACCCGGAAACAAGAGGGACGGGCCAGGGCTTCAACAGGGAGGGTGCCAGCTGAGCTGCTGCTCCTCAGCAAGAAGCTGGTTTCATTCTCCACCCTCTCTCAAAGGGGCTCCTGAGCTTCCTGTGACGGTATTTTGCCCCAAGCTGCACTGGGTAGAACTGCGGGCCAGGGAAACTGGAAGTGACATTTCTTATATAGAGAGAAAATAAGAAATAAATTAGGGTATACTCTTCTAACAATTTTTTTAAAGACAGGGTCTCACTAAGTTGCTAAATTGCCCAGGGTGGGCTCAAACTTGGGATCCTCATGCCTCAGCCCCCCACAATGCTGGAATTATAGGCATGTACCACCAAATTTATGGTGAATTCTTACGTGATTTTATATGAACAGTCAAAATGAATGACTTATTCAAGTATCAACATGAATGTCTAAGACATTGTTTAGCCAGGTGCGGTGGGGTGTACCTGTTGTCCTAGGTACTCAGGAAACTGAGGCAGGAGGAGCTCTGGAGCCCAGGGGTTTGAGACCAGCCTCAGCATCACACGAGCCTGTCTCTCAAAGTAAAACCAAAATTAAATTACTGCACAATATTGTTTAACTGAAAAAAGCCAATACACAGAATATTATAGTATGATAGCCTTAAGAAAATGTAAGAACCATTCAAAACTCTAGGTATTTCTGAAATCTGTTTATCAGAAGCATACTGTAAAAATGCAGCTAGAGGAAAAAAAATGTTCTGCATGTGATGTCCAAAGTCCCAATGATCCCGTGTAGAAATGTTTGGGAATAGCTGCAGGGCAGACAAAGGATTTAAAGGAGAAAAAATGAGCCTATAGTTTAAATGTGGACTTTCTTAATATATATTTTCCTGCAGACAAATAATAAATGAATGCAATTTAAACTTGATTATTTGCAGTTATGATGGAGATGGTAAGTCTAGAATAATCATGAAAAATAGTAATAAATATGCTTTACAGATTTTCCATTGGTGCACAAAAAATACACAAGGAAATCATTCTCAGAAAAATATGATTCTCTAAATCCATGAAAATCAAAATTATAATTGATGTAATCAGAAGTAAAAATTGTACTATACAGTAGTACACTTGTAGAAAATACTATACAGATCAGCTGTGTACATGAAATTAAGACTATTCAAATAAAAAGCTGAGTAAGCAGACTCTAAGAAACTGGCTTAAAATTTTTCCAGAAAGTGCCGGGTGTGGTGACACATACCTCAATAATCCCAGCACTCAGGAGGCTGAGGCAGGAGAATCAGAAAGCATAACCCTGTCTCAAAAAAAGAAAAAAAAAAGAGCCAAGAAATCCTTGTTTTTTGCCCTGGGAAGCAAACTGCAGTTTTTGAACCTCGAAGATTTGTATCCAAACTAAATTCAATTTTTGATCATCATTAAAGTGAGGTATTTGTCTTTTTCTTTTTTGGTACCAGAAATCCATCTCAGGACCTTGCACTTGCCAGGGAGGTGCTTGTGCTGCTGAGCTGTATGCCCCCGGTCCTAAAGTGAGGTATTTTTTCTTTTTTTTGAGGTATTTTTAAAGAAATTCAAGATAACAAAACAATCAAGACACAATACAGGTATTTATACATACAAAGTTTAAAGAGGTCACAAAAATATTGGTATCAAAATGTTTATGTGGAGCCAGGTGGGTACTTGGAAGGCTGAAGCAGGAGGACTGCTGCAAGTGAGAGGCCAGCCTGAGCTACACAATGAGTTCAAGACCAGCCTGAGCTACATAGCGAGACGCTGTCTCAAAAAAAAATTGTTTAAGATTTGGAAACAGAAGCGTATTTCTGGCGGTGATATATTTTCCACTTGGTCTGCGCAGAGCAATGTGCAAGTGAATTGGGAGGGTTTGCGTCAACTAAGCCCTGGTGCCTCTCGTGTTATCTCCTAAAACGGAGAAAGCAAACAGCAAGCCTCAGCGGGAACCAGCAGAGACTCGTTATCTATAATGAGCCCGAGGACTGTAAATATCGCTTCACCAAACAGCAAACTCGCCAGCTCTTCCATTCCAGAGTTGGCCGGCACGGAGCAGCAGCTATTTACTCGGTAGAAGCCCGGTGAAGACAGCGTTCCTATGTTTCCGAAGCCCGGGAATTAGTGCCGTGGGAGCCCATCCACATGGATCGGAGGTTCCTACTATCATGCTGCCATTTTTACCTGGAAATATTGTTCCTTCTTCTTGTGTTTTTACTGAGTCAACTTTCAAGGCCTTCCACGTAATGGAGCACAGTGACACTGATGATTTTATCAAGAAAATCTTTGTTTAGAGGAATAGAGAGAGAAAAAGCTTACCAGAATAAAGCCCCCATAACTTTTTTTTTTTTTGTCTTTTTGAAACAGGGTTTCGTTATGTAGTTCAGGCTGGCCCTAAATTCACTTTGTAGCCCAGGCTGGCCTCAAACTCGCAGCAATCTTGCCTCAGCCTCCTGAGTGCTGGGATTAGACATGCGCCACCACGCCTGGCCATCCCCCTATTTCTAGCAATGCAACAGTTTCTGTGGTGGGCCAGGATTTCTTCTAATCTCCTGTAAGTAACATCCTAAATGATCAGGCTGAAGGTACACGTGCATAGATTTTTTTTTTTTGTCTTTTTTTAAGACGGTCTTGCTATGCAGTTCAGGCTGGCCTTGAACTCACTTTGTAGTCCAGGCTGGTCTTAAACCCACAGCGATCCTCTTGCCTCAGCCTCCCGAGTGCTGGGATTACAAGTGTGCACCACCAGGCCCAAAAGGGCATAGATTTTCATTAGCAATGCTTTGGATACTTTCTTTTAATACGTGCATGAACCCAGGGCCTTGCGCAGGCCCAGGCATATAGCTCTACCACTGAGGTTCACCCTCACTCCCAACAAACCTGTCCTGACCTTTTCACTACAGACTAGTCCTCATGACACTCTACTTCCCTTTGATCTCCTCTCTTCAATTCCGTTCTGAATGTCAGAAAGGAAGCCTTCCAACTTCCAACTTCCCACCACCATAAAGAAATAGAGCAAGACAGTAGCTGTCCCACCATCCACATCATGAAAGACTGATGTAAGAAAATAGTTCCTGAAATCCAGGGAAGACAAAGGCCAGCACAAGTCCTTCTGGAGAGTACTCTAGTAAAATATTAGTAAGTGGCGGTGAAGATCAGGGGAGAGGCAGTCCCTGCAGACAGTACTCTTGAAGGAGGCTTTCTAAAAGCGTAGACGCGACCTAGAACTGGGAATCCTAGAAGTGCAGCAAGTACACACAGGAAGTTCTAAATCACAATCAGGTGACCAGAGGATCAAGCTGCCCGGTGAGGTTCAGGTCTTCGCGGCACGCAACAAGAGGCCTTGCTGATGCACAGGCCTGGCACTTCCGGCGTGATTATCTCACAGACTCGTGCTGAGAGTGTTCATACGCAAACAGGAGTAATCGACCTCTGATGCAAGGACCACATGACCGCCAACTACACACCCGTCACTCACGTAACGCACACACATCAGCGTGATTTCAAATGGCTAGAATGCAAAGCTTTTCCAGTCAACTGTGACACAGGCTAAAAACCACAACCAAAAAAATTTTAATTACAAGTTCTCACAGAAGTATCAACTTGGCAGGGCAGCAACGATGGAGGAATGACACCAGCCCAATATCACAACGACTCTGAACAGTCACCGCCCATGACCGTATGGAGAACCTGTTCCTGCCCCAGGCTGGCCCCCACACACCAGTCAGCTTTCCCCTTACTGCAGGGACTACTGTTAGAAAGCAAATGGTGTCTTGCACCTGGTGAAGTCCAGCCAAACAGAAGACCAGAAGGCTGAGGCGTCCCATTAACATTCCAGAGCTTATTTCCAACACTACCTTGAGACTCTTCAGGGCCAGCCTGGTCTGAGAGCAAATCAGTAGCAGCTGCACCCTGGGGAGGACACAAAGCCTCCTGTGCTGCAATACTGCCTACGCCGGGAGTGTTATGCCAGCACCCTAAGGCGCTACCAAAGATGGTTCCCACTGATTTCTTAGGGCTGCAGAACAAGTATCTTGATGCTACTGAAGATATGATCTGCCATTTTAAAAACCTAATGTTGGATCATCTAAAATGTTTCCAGGCAGACACAGTCGTTCAAGGCTAGCGTTCCAGCACTCAAGAGGCTGAGGCAGGACTGCCTGAGCTCAGGAACTTAAGTGCCAGCCTGGGCAATATCAGGTCAGTCTATCAATCTATCAGTCATGTCAAATTTGGTGGAAAAATCTTTTTTTTCTTTTCCCCACAGAGCTCTTCAATTTGCTCTAGAACCTCTCTATGATTTCCAAATACCAACTGGTATTAGGCCATGAGTCACAGATCCCTGTACCGCACTGGCAACTATACAGATGAACACCAGTGAGAGAACACGTCTCCAAGAAGAGACCCCAGCCACTTTCCAGTCAGTGTGAAAAGTATATTTGCACAGGGCTCAAAAATTCCTCTCTCTCACAGGGGATCAAACGCAGGCCCTTGAGAATGCTAAGTTCATCCTCTGCCACTGAGTTACATCCCTAGCCCCAAATTTTAATGTGAAGAAAATGCAGTCAAAACATAGATCTACACTGAACATATGTGGAAAAGATATTTAATTGTAAAATAGAAAAGTAGGCCAGAGTACAGTTTTAAGGGTAATTGCTTCTTTATACAGTATAGGTAATCTAGAGGGGTTTTCAGGTTAAACATTTTCATAAAGCAATAAAACATTAAAAAATAAAGCAAGGAAAAGGGGTTTGATGTTTTACAAAAAAGAATGAACATCTACCGCAGTTTAATAAATTGTGGAAATTAACAATATTATGATGAGAGCAAGTCACAGGAAGACGCAGAGCTGTCACAGGAGAAGGGAAAGGTCCATTAGACGTATCTATAGCATCACTGTGGTACAAAAGTTCTGGTTCTACATACAAAAGCAGTTTCTTCCATAAGAATAATTTCCTGGGGGAGGGGAGGCTAAGTCCTTGAAATATTGCAGAAACCCATATGCATTGAGTTTTCCAGAAACATCATCTTAAAATCCAGTGCCTTAAAGTGCTTTCATGTGGAAATCATGATGGAAGGCACAGAATACAGTTTCACGTCCCCACAATGAAATTTTCAAAAAAGCATAGATTTCGCAGACTTGTAAATTCAAGTTCTCTTGTAAGCTGCTCCTTCCAAGAACATTGTCATTCCAATAAAACCAGCTGCCAGCTTACTTAGTTTCAATGACCTACAGAATAAAAGATTTACTTCTGCTAACTTTCATCATCTTTGTGGGAAAAATAGCTATGCAAGTGATGCATTTTGAAATTATAAAACATGCAGAATATGTACAAACAGAAGGTTTAAAAAATATTTGCTTCATATACATGTAAATCTACTTGGGTATAGCTGAAATTGAACAAATATAAAAGTTTTGCTTTCTAAAAAATGTTTTCAGAGAATCTGAGACAACTTAAAGCTGTACAAAGATTTCCTGGGAGAAATCTTTTCTCCATATAGAAGTTTATACCCACAAGAGTAATTCCAGCATCAGTCTACCATAATTATCACACAACATTTGGTCTAACCAACAACGATCACCCTTAAAACTGTTCTGTTTCTGAGAAGATAATGTTCATACTAAAATCAAAAAATTCACAATAACAGTGGCTTATTGTGGTTTTGGATCTCATCAACAATCTTTACCAACTCATTTGGACTTGTAAAAAAAAAAAAAAAAGAAAACAAATACTATTTACAGAATTCAGTCTTAAATACATTTCACAACTTCTAAAGTTTTATGTTACAAGAATTCAAAGCTCAGAGCTGAAGTCCAATTACCAACTGGTAGTCTCTTCTTCTCCTGCATTCCCACGGCGGCACCCTGGCTGTGTACAGTTCGAGACTGCATGCTTTCTGACCAAGAGTGAAATCAAATTACATCTCTGTTTCGATCAGACAGCTTCTTTGTTAGTCTGAAGACGAGTCATAGCTTCTAGCTTCTGTCTGTAGGCCTCTGCTTCCTGCTCTTTCTTAAGAAGTTGCTGTCGGTATTTCTGTGCTTCTCGATTTGCTTCATCCAGCTGTTTCTGAAGAGCTTCTCTCTCCTGGTTAAAAAAAAAGGTTTAAAGAATTTTTTTTCACAAATACATTAACACATACAGGCATGCATCCTTCAAATAAAGACTCTGCAATAGCCCTAAGTGGCTACTTTCTGATAGCTCCCAGACAGTTTACCTTTCCAAGCAATGCACTAGGCACTAAGCCCCTAATTCTGTGCTCCACAGTGAGATGCAGATTACTTTCTAGCCTCAATAAAACTGTTTCCTAATTAGAAATGAGTCTAAGGAATTAACCCAAATATGTAGTTTTATATAGTTTTGCAGTACAAACTGTAACGTTTTCACGTGTCCTTGATTCTCAGGCTATCATCTGAAGGTAGGTTACATTTATAGAGCACCCACTACGTAACTAAGCAAGGTGACTTCCAACCACACATCTCTCAGGGAATAGCTGGGTTTATGGGACCCTGCTATTACTATTTTTTAAGCCACCCTCCGCTACAGCAGCTGGGCTAGGTTAAGCTACACCACACCATTCAACAAACCAATACAACCAAATCTCTCTTCCTTGATGGGCCACAGTTACACAGGTATAAAATGTCCACTATAAATCCAGTAAGCTGAGGGCCGAAACACAAACCTAGTCCAGTGAAAATGATAGTGTTTTCTTCTTCTCATTCAGGCCCTAGTCAGTTACCTTGGGGAAAACACTTCACAGAACCCTCTCCCGGACTGGACCTACACCGAGCACAGGGATGAAAGCTCAGGGCAAATTCCCGCCTTCTTAGGCCCAGGACCTCTTAGTGAGGTGAGGGCCAGAGGCAGAACCCCCGTCATGATGCAGGCCAGGTTCCCAGGAGACAGGACCCGCCAACAGGAAGTAAGGATGTGGGGCCAGGCAGTCCGTGGGGAGGGACAGTGTGAGGGTCTCTCGCTGCACATCCACACCCCCGGACACTCCTCCATTCGGAACGGTGACCGTACCCACCCCAGGCTGCCCCCAGAAGACGTCACTCTCCTGCCTTCCTGTGACTCTGCCCCTTGTCACACAGAGAATGAGGCTAGAGGCAGCATCTTTCCCACCGGCCCTCCAGACCTGGGAATGACGGATTATCGGAGCCTACAAATCTTCCAACTACACAAAATGTGCACGCACAGTGAAAGATGGCCCTCTTCTCCAGGTCAGGAGTGTGCAGGCTCCACACGGCTGCGCCCCTTCTTCCCCTAACTCCAGGAAGGAGGGCAGGCAGCATACGAAGAGGCCAGCGAGAGCCACCACAGCTCTGAGCAGCCGTGGGTGGGCTGCGGTAGGGGGCTCAGCATTGCCCCCGGGCCTCAGACCCCACCACCGGCTCGGGCACTCTCAGACACGCACACCCGTTCTAAGTGCACGGTACTAAGAGCCTCTCATTTTGCATAAGCAAAACAATGTGCCCCAGCTTGGGAGGAAATACTAGGTATCTTTTAGGATTAGGATTAGCAAGTGATTCACTATTATTGCAGAAGACTAAAACAAACTGAGGTAAATAGTCTAAAGGCTGAAAAACAGTTGAACCTTAATTTCTTTTTTGTCTTTTTGAGAAATGGAGCATACACACATATATCACATACACCCCACACACTGGGGACACACTCAGGGCCTTGGGACTGTCAGGTACCAGCCAACCACTGAGCTACAATACACCGCCAGCCCCGAGAAACAGAATATCCATTACTGTAACTGAAATGATCACTCCCGTCTACTTATTAGGCCAAATAAAAGACCCATTATACACTGTGTTTTCTGACTAAATCCGTAAGATCTGAAAGATAAGGGTCATCAGTACTACTCTGACTGCATTAACAGCATGACTAATATTACTAATTCTTACACATTTCTGATTCTTTCTCAAGAATGTAGGTGTAGGGGAGAAGGGTCTTCTTCCATCTCACTTCAAAGCAGATAAACATCTCTGTAAAGTGGGGAAGGCTGCTTGTTTTACCCACAGAAATCCTTTGTTTCTGTTTGTCACATGTTCATTGAACATAAAAGACAGTTCCTTAATGCAAGCAGCCATTCAGCCGCTTCAAACACTGACACACAAGAGCCTGGCACCTGGCATCTACGCTGAAACAGAAACACCAGCTCTGTGGCACTCAGCTTTTGCAGTAAAGTCACAACGGCAAGTTCTGACATTTTATGATGGACACAGGCTAGCCTACTCCATGTAATACTGAAGTCTTTTTCGAGGGGCTGGGGTTTTGCTCAGTGGCAGAACACACAGTTATAGCATGTGCAAGGTCTTGCGATAGATCCACAGCATGAACACACGCACACGCGCACATTTTCCTATCCACAGTCCAATTTAAAGAATTCCCCGAAAAAGGTCTGCTAATGATCCACATTTAGTGGCAGTAGGAAGGTATCTAGCCATGTCACACTGCCAAAGCAATGTCACTGTTACATTAGGTACTGCAATGATGGAAAACGGAAGCTTTTTTATTTTACTGAGCTTGTTTTATTTTAAACACGATTCCTCTGTTCCATTTTGATTAACAGCAATGATCTCTAACAATTTTATCATCTTTAATATATAATTTTCTAACAACCGAATTTGTATTTTGCTTTGACTATTATAAACTCAAAAATCATCATGATTTATCTTCTACCATACTGAAATGTCTTTTTTTTTTTCTTCTGGAGACAGGGTCTCGCTATGCTGTTCAGGCTGGCCTTGAGCTCACCTTGTAGCCCAGGCTGGTCTCGAATTTGCAGCAATCTACCTGCCTTAGCCTCCCCCGTGCTGGGATTACAGGCCAGGCCTGCACCACTAGGCTGGCAAGTTTTATTTTTAGAAGGAAAACATGGAAACAAAGATTTGTAAACAAGGAGAAGAGGGGTTGAAGCGAGAGGAGAGAAAGCGGGGGAAAAAAAGAGAATCAAGATCTATCATGTACAGGTACAAACTCCCTATGGTAAATATGACCAGTAGGTATATCCAAACTGTACCAATAAAAACAACTTAAACAGTTTTTTTGGTTGTTTTTCGAGACAGGGTCTCACTACATCACTCAGACAAACCCCCTCAGCATCCCAAGCGAGGGATGACAGGCATGGGCCACCACGCCCTGCCTCAATGTGAACTTTAGAACAACGCTAACAACTGGTGTTTTTGTGCCCCTCGCTGTACTAACCCTTCATATGCACTCTCATTTCATCTTTCCAGCAGTCTTATATTGTAGATGCTATTTTTCCACTTTTGTTGATGAGGAAGCCCATCCTTGAAAAGTGAAGCTGAACTGATTAACATAATTAAAAATTATAAAATTCAAACCTAAATTTGCTTGAATAACCGTATTTCTAGCCACTTATTTTGCTTTTGATTTTTTGAGGCAGGATCTTGTTAGATAGCCCAAACTGGCCCCAAACTTTCCTGCTTCAGCCTCTTAAAGTGCTGGGGTTACTAGACTCGGGTGAAAGGGGACTAGGCCACATATGTGAGGTGTTCCCTGGTGTGTGAAGATCAGTTTTCTAACTACCCTGGGCCAAATGTGGCAAAGATGATCTTGCTTTTATAAACAGTGTCTCAAAACAAAGCCGCACCCACCATTTCACTTCACGCTGCTTCCCCACTGTAACGGCAGAGCTGAGCACCTACATCAGGGACTCCACCCACAGGGGAGACAGAACCTCCACAGACCAAGAGTGACGCCCGGCTGGGGGCAGGGGCAAGGCCTGGAATCCCAACTTCTGAGGCTGAGGCCGAAGGACCACAAGTTCAAGGGCAGTCTGGCCAGCTTAGCAAGGCCCTGCCTTAAAATCAGAAAAATAAAAAACCAAAAGGGCTGGGGAGGTAGCTCAGTACTAGAGCAGTCCTGAGCTCAAGAGATATTACTGTCCACAATTTGTAGAGATTTTTAAAAGACTACTAAGGATCTCAATCCAGCCCTGTTAAGGAGACAAATACAAACAGAGCCAGGGGTAGCTCAGGGGCGGGGCACTCGCCCATCACGCATGTGACCCTGCATTTGATCCAGTCCCAGAATTAAAGACAAAACATCTTATCTCAAAAAATAAACGAAATTCCCTAATACACATATTCATCTCTACTCTGAGTAACAAAAAATAAAGATCTTGCCTGGATTCACACAGGAATAGAGTTTGCTGTTCCTAACGCGCTAATGACACCTCCCTCCCACAGGTGCGAGGAGCAAGCTCCGCTGAGAACACGCCAATGCTCACTTACAGAGGTGGGCAACAGCACACTCTCCTTCTCCAGAAGAACCTTCAGAACAGTACTATCAAAAGTACTATCAAGAGCTTCCACACTATCGTAATTGAGTGCCCTGCTTCTATCTTAACCTCTACAAAATTCTACATTGCTACATAATGTAGATGTAAATACCACAAAATTTACATACATTTTAGGTAATTTAAACTAGTTTTTCCAGGGATTATTGGGAAACACTGCAAATGCAAGTTTGCATCAACTTTATTGTCCCTCTGCCAACCGTGGGCACAAACACAAAAAGAAATAGGATGAATGTCAGATTCTGTGTACGAGGGGATTTTTAAATTCCTTTAGAGTTCCTCAGGCTCCGTGCTGGTATTTCTGTAGTACATGAATTCTGAATGCTGTCCTGTGCATCACAGGATGTCCACTCTACCCACCAAATGCCAGTGCTTTGCCATTAACTGTAACAACCAAAAGCGTTCCCAGGCATTGCCAAATGTCACTTGGGATCAAAACTGCCCAGCCGAGAATCATCATTTTATAGAAACTGCATGGGAGGCTGCTGTCATTTCAGAAAGCAGTATAAAAGCCTGTCCCCAAGGTAACACTGCTGGTAGTCTAAGAATAAAAACTCAAGGGCATGACTTCAGGCATGACACACCAGCAATTCCAGGCTTGCCATAAGCCTTGAGGTCACATCTTCCCTTCCAACCGCAGCCCGCCTCCACCATCCACACGCACTGTGTGGGTCCCAGTCTCTCCGCAACGGCCACAAGAGGCCCTGCGACCTTGTCCTGAACGTTTGCACCACTGGGGAGTTCCATTAAAAACAGAACGAATAGAAAACCCTGCTCTTCGCTGGGCATGGTAGTGCACACCTGTAGTCCCAGCACTCGGAAGGCTGAGGCAGGAGGAGTTTGAGGCTAGCTTGGGCTACATAAGCGAGGAGTTCAAGGCCAGCCTGTGCTACATTAGACCCTGCCTCAAAAACAGAAACAAAAACAAAAACAAAAAAAGCCTATTCTTTATTCCAAGCTGAAATTCCACTTCCTTGGTTCTAGTTAATTCATACACCCCTATTCTCACCTTCTTCTTACTGCAATTATCTTCCCTAAGAGGAGAAGAGAACAAGGCAGAACTGGAAACAGGGATTAGTCACTGGCAAAGAAAGGCACTGCCTTTCATACTCACCCTTAGAAACACACGACGTGCTGAATAATCTTATATTTAATAAAAATTCATGTAATTTTAAATGTTTTATTAGATAACTTTTTAAATGTTTTATTTAAATGTTTTATTGACAAAATTTTTTTCACCTTAATGTGCTTTAAAAAGACCATCTGACAGATCAGAAAATGATAATAAAGAATAAGTATGCTAATATTACCTGGTAGAATTGTTAGTGAATAAGAACTTTGTTTTCCTGCATATAACTCTAAGTTTTCAAGAAATACAACAACCCACACTGAATAAAGTTGTAATTTTTACCAGATATTCTGGTTAAATCATTAATCAGATTCTTTTAAACTCAGTAGTATATTATTTATGAATATATCCAAAGATGTAGCAGTCTGATAGTTAAGTGAATGTAAGAAGGTATAGTCTAATTGTGTGAAGAGTTATGTTGCCCTTTAGAGGATTTTTACGAAGTCCCCTTCCTGTGGTAACAAGGACTGTTATGAACTGCTAAATGTTCACCAAATTTACTATGCATATGTAACAGGAACTCTAAACATACTACTTGAGTATACTTCTGAAATAAAAACCCTAAAATGGAGATACTACTCTGGATTCTAATCTAGAAGAAAATAAGACTCAGAAAGGCAAGATAATTTCTTTAAAACTGATAGTTAAGAGAGGGCATTCAAAACCTAGCTTAACTGATTTCAAGTTCAGTTCTATTTACACAGCAGTTATTCAAAACAACTTTGCATTTTATGTAAGTTCTAAATTCAGGGAACATCATCTTATTTATACTCATGTGAGGGGAAGAAAATCCGTGGTAACTGTAGTTTGCACTACAAACTAGTGTACACTTATAAACTAGTTTGAGAGGGGAAAATGACGGCGAAATCTTAGCAGTTTTACACTATTTTTAAAAACACAATCCATTAGAGAGACATCAACCTTCTGTAAGAGGACCCTATATAGCTGAATTAGGCATCTGAGCTCCACTTTTGCAAGAAAAAAATATCTTTCATCAGTATTTAGTTGTATTTCCCTTTAGTGACTTGTGAGAATGACATGTAGAAGACACACAGAAAACAAACAATGGAAGATGAAACTCGAAGACATGCCGATGTCACCAGATGCAGGCTTTGTTACAAACAAATCTTCACTCACTCATTCATTCAATATTTATTTATTGAGGGCTTGCTATATGTATAAGGCAAAAAAGTAAACAAAAGGGTGATACCATGCACTTTCATTCTGTATCAAAACACTGTAATAAATATAAAAGACAAAAAAATAAAAAATAAAAAATTTATTTTGGACGACTGCCGCTAAACACACCGGGTAAAAGACTCCTTACTTCTATTTCTGCAGATTCCACCCGGTTTTCAATAATTTCAATACATTGTCTCTTAGCCGGCGGCTCTTCACTTATAACGGTTTCTTCAGCGATATCTGTTGCAGGCACTGTTAACACTGGAATGAAAAATGCACGCGTTACTTCACTCTCTGGTGCCTTTAATCGAAATAAAACTTGTAGTAACTTCACTGATGCTGCCCATCTAAAACATACATATTCCAAACAATTTCAAAACACTGTATTGCTTCTGTATTACAATCTTACTATTTACAATATTTACTTTTTAAATTTTATAACATGTTAATTCACAGGGCTCTAAAGTCAAAGTATTAACAAGCATAGTCTGAGAGGTCTCACACCCTCCCCTACCAATACAATCACTTTTTATTAGTTGCTTGTGTGTTCTTGCATTAATTTATGTGAAAGCAAGTGTGCATATGTGCACAGCACTCCTGCAGTGCACCATTCGGATGCACACGACCAGCACACTGCTTGCCTGTAACCACCATCCCTTGCACACACACACAGACAGCTTCCTTCCTGCAAGCTGTATACCCTGTCCTGTCACAGTTTATCATAAACACATCATAAACCTGTTCTCCTACTGGATTACGTCTTATTTTTTGTCACTCTTCATAGGAAAATAAATAGAGAGAGGCTGCTGTACAGGACAGGGCCTTGCAGAACCATCTTAACTTGCTGCCATGGGCAGCTTTTTAAAGTTTGTTTTAATATTCAATAGGATCCTCTCACTCTTCTTTTCCAGAGTTTTATTTTTCTTCTTTCCTCCTCTTAGCATCAATACAACACAACCATTTGGTGAGTTCTGGAAAAATCTACTGATCGCTCTTACAGACTGAGTTGTGCCCCCGCCCCAAGTATTCGTGTATGAGGTCCTAACCCCTAGTAACTCCGACTGGGATTCCATCTGGAGACAAGGCCTTTCAAGAGGCACACACGCTAAAGTGAGGTCACATGGGTGCCCTAATCCACTGTGACTCGTGTCCTTTTGAGCAGAGTGGTCAGGACAGATACCACATGCACTGAACGAGTGGGCCACGTGCAAGCCAAGGAGAGGCCGACACTGAGGCTGGACTGCAGCCTCCAGCCTGAGAGATGCGTTTGTGCTGCTCGCATCGCCCAGCCTGCGCACGGCCTTACAGCCGCCCAAACAAACTAATGGTCTCTTTTTCTTTGATGTATCAAATTCATAAATTAACCAGGAAGATTCAAGGACTTGATTTTGAGCCTTCTCTTCCAAACTCATGGCTTTCCTTCCATTTGTTCATCAGTTGTTTTTGTTTGTATAATGTCACATTTTAGAGACAATTTATTCACTTTTTTTAAGCAGACAAAAAATTTTAAGTGTTTTCTTGGCTTGTAAACAATTAAATTGGTTCGTTATAGATTTACAAAAGGAGCAAGGCCTGACCCAGCCGCTGGACCGGCCTTCCGCAGGACTCTCAGCAGGCGGGAGAGCACGTTTGAGCCTTCAAGTCAAAGGCTCCCTCTCTGCGTTATGGTGACGAAGTCTTTTCTAGCAATCTGTCTCTCTTCAGTGCCACACCTCCTCTGTCACTCCAAACCAAACCTGGGGCAGAAGTTCCACCTCCACCAGTTCCTTCCCCTTCTACAAAGGGGCAGTCTCTGCAATGCTGGCCGCTTTCTTTTCTGTGGAGGACAGAAGGGCGTGTGCACGCGCGCCTGCTCCGCTTCACACCTCCTCTCTGGCTCCCCAGGACCCTCCTGGCTCCACTCTTATCCAGGCTTGCAGCACTTCCGCTTCAGGCCAGGCCCTCGCTTCCGCCTGTGCTCATTCCCTGGTGACCGCCAAGCCCCTGCCTCTCCTCCCCCGAACGCCCCCTGCGGGCTTCTGTGAGTCTTCTTGCCCCGCCTGTGCTGGTCTTGGGTGCTCTGCGCAGCTCTTAAAATGTGGAATTTTAAGGTTTTCTCAGACTTTTAATTCAGCTGGGCTTTTCTTTCATTCACCTTGATATTCATGGTTTTCAAGAGGAAAAAAATGAAGGAAATTCACAATAAACATATAAAAACTGCCACCATATGTCTACTAAAAGCTCTAAGTTCAACTTGCTATTCAGGAGGTTTTCTTACATGGGATTTTTAAAAGTTCATATGATATGTAAGTTGCATGAAATGGTGCAAGAAAGCATTATCCAATGATGGTTTTGAATACCTCATTTTCTATATTGTGGTGGTATTTAAGTTTTTTTTTCTTTTTGGTGATACTTGGGATGGAGCTCAGGGCCTTCACAGCACAACCCTCCTCCCTCTTCTTTTTTTTTTTTTTTATTTTAAATATTTTGAGTCAGAGTCCTCCTAAAGTGCCCAGGTTGGGTTCAAACTCAATCCTCAGGCCTCGACCTATGAGAGTGGTGGAATGACAGTTATCCACCACACTCCTAGCTTCATACTCATTTCAATTATCAGCCTAAGCAAATAAAATTAGGCAGTTATGTCTGTTGCAGAAATAGAATTCAAGGCCAAAATAAACAATGTGGAAAACAAATCACCATTTCCTGAGAATTGAAAATAACATCAACTTGATACAAATGTCTACCACTAACCTTGCTGTCCATCTGGCATGGTCACAATGATGGGCTGGCCTATCCCACTGGTCGGGATAGAGTGCAAGTTTCCAAGCTGGATCCCATCTGTAACGATGGTGATGACCTGCTGACCCCCTGAGCTGACCACCTGCTGAATTGCACCATCCACGGACTCTGCTGTAACCACCTCCTCCGTGGCCACTACTGGAAGAAGAAGTGAACATCGGTGAATATACCTAACAATGCGAACAGAAATGTAGCAAAGGGCTTCTGAAGACAGAAAGGCCACAAATGCATGAAGTTCTTTTGTGAGAAGGCAAGACGAATCCCAGGACCTAGTTTTCAGGACACATCTATGGCTAGAGGCCTAGCTTCTACCTGTACAATGTTCTTTGGTAATGAAGGGTCACAACACAAACCCAGAACACTAAAAATGCAAACCGTCTTTGCTTTGAGTGCTCTCACTATTTTTGTTTGCTTTAAACTATAATTTAGTTTTGTCACCAAGCACTTAAGAAAATTTCAGGAAGATAGTTACAAAATGAAGTGGATGGCATAAAACAGCAATGTACTCAATAGAATAACAACTAAGGCTTTCATGCACATTAATATTGCTTTGATTTTTAAAAACATATCCATATGAAAAAGAAATGTTCAGGGGTTGAATGCTAAGTACAAACAGTAACATTTTAAACCATAATCATGCATAAGAAATTTCTGCGATCACACAAAATCAAGGCACAATCCAAGAACTTTCATCTTTGCACCATTTATAATGACTGTCCTTAAAGAATACAGAGTTCTTTCATCTAAAAGCTTTCTTTTTAAGCTGTGTGACAGTAAAGTATTTAAGAAAAAATTAAAAGGAAACCAATTACAGTAGAAGACAAACCATGCCGTCACTCCCAGAAACCTTAAGAATAACCCGACATAGAAAAGAGAAAGCCTAAAAGCTCAAAACAGATTGTTAATTTAAAATATATACATATATTCCAAAATGTAAAACTCCCTGGATAAAAAGTAACCATAATACCATAAATATTCACTGATGTAATTAAAAAGTTGTGCTATAGTATTTAAAGAGAGTAGTTAATGTATAACATCTTTGATATCTGAGATCCCTTGTTCAACATGACTTTTAAATTTTTTTTTTTTTTTTTTGTCTTTTTGAGGCAGGGTCTCCCTCTGCAGTTCAGGCAGGCCTTGAGCTCACTTTGTAGCCCAGGCTGGCCTCAAACTCACAATGATCCTTCTGCTTCAACCGCCCAGTACTGGGATTATAGGCGTGCGTACCACACCCAGTTTGACTTTTAAATGATAATGCCATAAAACTGAAATAAGGCATGGAAGAACACTGTCTTTTAAAAAGTTCTGAAAGACTGAAAACTCTACATAGAAACATTTAAATAAATGTTTATGCCTGTAATCAAACCTGAAAGTAAAAACCAAAACCACCTCATGAGGCCTAAGCATAAATAATTATGCTTATAGCCAACTTCATTTTTCTACCCTATTTTACAAAAAGACCAACAATGTGCAACAGGTACCTGGTTCACTTCACTGTTAGAAGTAGGAAATTTTAACAGCTACCAGCCACGTTGCACTTTCTGAAACACCTTACTAGCAACTAACAGAAGCTAACTAGAGATTTAAAAAAGTGATCTTGGATTTCTATTTCATCAAGGTATTATACAACTGGGACACAGGAAGAATAAAGCTAAAGCAAGGAAAAGGTGGTAACAGGACCGCAAGTAATTACACTGCAGACAGAAGGTTCACATCCTAAACAATTACAGCTTTTAACTCCACATCCCAAGTAACTCCCAAATCTATTCACTTCTTCCTAGCTCTTTGCCAAACTCTTATTCATGCTATGATTACAGTGCATCTCATTCTTGTTTGAACTACATCTTTACAAACTTTCCAGAACATTCTTCTAAACCTACCATGATAATTTACATCCCCAGGCCATTTTTTATTTTGAGAAAAGATTTTGATAACTTGTTAATTTTTCAGGCTGGGCTCAAACTTGCAACCTTCCTGCCTCAGCCAGCCTCCCAGAGTGCTGGGATTACCGGCTTGTAAGCAGGCTCGGCACAGTGATCATGTGAAGTCTTGTACCATCTCACCCTGAACCCCCTGCTCACTGGGGTCAGTCATGCTGTTGGTCTCTGGGCCCCCTGAAAAGCTTTCTGCCTCAAAAGCTTCACTTCCTAAAATGTTCTTCCCCAATGTTTTCCTAATTCCTCCTTATTACTCTAGGAAGATTCCACGACCCACTCAAAGGTGGCCTGGAAGCTTTGGCAGGAAGACGAGAACATGACTCCTTTGAGGAGTGTCCTCCAGAGGGCTTTTCCTCATGAGGAAGAAGGTAACTGCAATTCCCAGCACACAGCTGCCCACTTCCTGGCTCTTCCTATGGAATGCATTAAAAAAGAAATGACACCCTCAGAGGCGTGACTTCGGGTGAACGCCTATATGCGCAGTTCTACCCATGTTTCACGGCGTGGTCCACACCCGCCCTCCCCTGCTCCAGCCTGAAGCAACTGCCCTCCTTCTAACAGCAACACAGTCCAGTGAGACAGTCTATGTCTGCTCTAACACTGAGAAGACAAGTAGCCTTTGGTTTTGCAACAAAGACATTTTAATTTTAATAGACTTGAGGAGGTTCTCTATGACTACTATTAAAATCTGTTTTGTATGACAAAAAAGTCCTACTGATATCACAAAAGCCAGATCACTTGCAGCCCACTCCTAAGTGCAATGGCACGCACACCCAGCTTATCAGAAGGGCCTGTTCTTTCTTTCCGTCTACTGTACCAAGCCAGCCTGAGGTCTCCCCTCAAAATATAGCCAGCCATCTGCTGCGACACTCTGCTCTGGACAGTTGTTCATTACATCACTTCCCTAGTAAGAGAGAAGGGTACGAGCAGTAGTAAGTAGTGCACTGATTGTTCTCACACCACATGTTCATCTATAATCATTTAAAAACAACAAGACAACAGAGAACACTTACTGCCACAGCCTACATAAAAAGCCAGACCCCTCCAGAAGACAAGTGATAAACACACAAGTATTTATTCCAATCACAAACGAATGACAAACTTTCACACAGCGACCAGCCCACAGATCACCTGAAGAAGGTGCATAGGAAAGTGTATTACAGGGGTTAGCCACGTATCAGGAGTTAGACTGGGAGCACAAACCTTGCACTATTTACAGCCATATGACCTGAGAAAAAACAACTTGACCTCCACAAACCTGTTTCATCTTACATAAAACGGAGGTACGTGTACTGCATCTTTCATATCCCAAATTACCCTTGAAAATGTACGTATTTTCAAACATTTCTAAAATCAGGATGAGCCTGATAACTGGTGGGAAAAGGAACAGGCGAGACAAGCGAGACGTCACCTGTGACAGACTCACCGTGGAGCGCGGGCCAGTGGGCAGCGGGAAGGCACACGTACTCTGATCACCTCTGCTGAGCTGTCACACAGGTGCTACTGGCAACACCCTTAGCTCGACTTTTACGTAATTCAAGCTCTTAACACATTCCACAGACACCATTCTGATTCAGCAATGAAATGAAATTTTATTGTGTTCATAGGACAGTGTAAGTCCCGGCCAATCAAAACCAACTGAAATTGCTAATTCTCCCAAACTCCACAGTAATATTTTTAAAGGTAAAAGTTAGAAAAGCTAGCGTGACGAATTCATTGAGCCAAAAATCTAAATGTGACTTTCAAGCAAAGCTATTTAATTTTCAGGTACATGCAATTTAATTTTTAAAATGTTCAAGTTTAAGCAAATAGAAACCACCAACAAAATCGGTTTTTCTGAGCACTGAACCACACCCCTCACGCACTGAGTATGTGCTCTACCACTACGTAGCATGTCAGTCTTGGCACCAGTTTTCTGTGACAAATTCTGCAGTTCCAAAGGTGCTGAAGAAATCCAGGAGTCGGTTATAAAGCAGTCCATCAACACCACGACACACACAGTGCACATGGCCAAAAGTAACTCGAAAAAGCTGAAGGCTTCCTAATAAAAAGGGTTTGATTAGGATGCCAAACAAGCTGGGAATGGGTAAGTATCAGTTATTCTTTAGTTAACAAAAGATGTAAGTTAAAAAACAATCACAGTAAGGATTCGACAAGATTGTAAGTAAAGCATTTATGGCAGTGCCTGGCATAGAGTAAGGGTTCAAAGAATTGTTGATCAAATTTTTAAAAAAAACACTAACTTAACAAATGACAACTATTCTTTACTGTCATAAACACTGATCCAAACATAACAGCTTAAACTACAGTAAGGATATTTCTTGGGGTTTAAACTTCCTGATTAAAAATATTTACACCAACATTTCAGGTCACAATAAAGCAAAGCTTGCCTGCACCAATTTGCCAATACTGTATGTCATCGTCTAGGAAGAATCCTCTGCGTAGTTTTTGTACACTATTTCCTGCTCTGTCCAGCAACATTTTTGTATCATTCTAACAGAACTGCTAAAAATTCAATTTATAAAACAACAGTAATTCCCTACAGATTGATATTCTGTAAATCAAAAGTCACAAACTGGTAAAACATGGGACAAACTGGGTAAACGGCAGGTTTTCTGTGAAGCACACAAGTCTGTTTAATCAGCTGGAGCTCAGCAGTAGACACCAGACCTAGCCCAGCCCCACCCTGCCCCGGGCTGGACACAACCCAGCTCTGCCCACTCAGGCCTCTCCTGGTTCTTCCAGGCCTTCCTAAGTGCCTGAATCTGTAGCTTTCACCACACACACGCGACCTGCTTTTCTAACCTGGAGTTTCTGAAGAATTGGACAATGGGGCAGAAGCTTCAGCTAAGGCAGCTAATGTAGCTAATACTGATGTAGAGGAGTTTCCAAACTGGACAGCAGACACACCCGTTTCATCTGCAGGGAAAGAAAAACAGGAATTTTTAACGTGCTTAATCCAATGCATAGTTCTCATGTTGTATTCTACTTTACTCAACTCTTAAATAAAGCTTGGATAGCATTAGTTTTCGAAAGATAATACTGCAGTGCATTTTGTAGTATCACCTTTCTTTAGACTGTATTAGAAAAAATTTTACCAAAATAAAAGACACTATGGTAGCTGATGGAATCTTACCCTGATTCTCCAAAAGTCCTTCTTAAAAGGAGGAATACCTACTACCGCACAAAATCCCAACAGCTGTCCTATATGCATCTCAATACCTGTTGCCTTGGATGAATTTTCTGAAGATACCAGACCTGTTAGGTTCACCACCCCTCCAGGTCCGATGATAAACTGTGGTGTCGCAGCGTGTATCGTCACAGTGTCAGGGCTCTCCGGGTTGGTGTTGATTTGGTTCTGCATAGCGATCTAGGCAAACAGCACCACAGTGTTTTCACAGTTATAACCAGAATGTCTGAAAGATTCTCAGGGCAGCACAAATACACACATAGGAGAGCATTTTCTAAGAAGGACCGCATCATACAAACGAAAACACAAGCTCATGGACTGAGTGCAACGTAAAATATAGTTATGAATTTATATCCCAAGACGCCATGCTGAGTAAAGCAGCGCCTGTTAGAGGAGAAATGAGAATCTGAAAGGGTTTTACAGATCACAGAAAAACTGAACACTGGAAGACATTCCACTCAGTAGCTACAGAAATTATCTAAGTTATTTCCTCGACTTCCTTTGGCAATATATAACACTACATACATAAAGCATGGCCTCCCTAATAAATTGTTCCCTACCTTCAGCCCCAACCCTCAGACTACACTCCTACATGTAAAAAAATAAGGGCATGGAAAATTCACTTTCCTGAGCATAAAACATTTTATATGTAATGCACGGAAATTCAACGAGGTCAGATGATCTTCGAGAAAAGGGTTCTACAAAAAGATAGGCGAGAAGAGGCACTAAGTAAAGATAATTTATATCAATGTCCTCTAGCTGAAGGAAAGATAAGTAATGCCAGTTACAGCAAAAGTAACTATGTCCACATATAGATTTTTTTACAGGATGATGAAAAGTCAAAATGATAAAGACTGTATCACTCAAAGGACCTTATTTTGGTAGCTAACTTTTTTTAAATTTTTATAAACTAATTCATAATAGACTTTGAAAAACCATAATCTAATCTTCTGTTACATGAAGACTGTGGTCTTACCATCAAGAAAATGAACAGCAATAAACAAAGAGGAAGTTCAACAGAAAAAGGCCTGTCTAAAGTAACTGAGACCAAAGTGAAAAGCTACAAGACTTAAAATATCTGTAACACAAGAGACCTATCTACACAGCTTCTTTTGTTTCCTTCAATTACAAGCCAAGTTACCTGTAATATCTCTGCTAAATCTTCATTTCCATTGTCTATTGAAATATCAAATGCAGTTTTACAAAATTTACTCTGCGTGTGTACATCAGCACCATATTTGATTAAAAGTTCCACCACTTCTTGATGATTGTGTTCTGTGGCCCAATGTAGAGCTGTCATCTTTAACATATCTTTTGCATTGACGTCAGCACCGTGCTACAAAAAATATTGTTAAAAATAAGATATTGCATATTGCTAATATACGAAATACAATACATTCCTGACATGGAAATACTAGTTACTATATGCTTTGAAGCAAGAACAAAAACATAATAAAGTCTCGTGTGTGTTAAACACATGTTCCAGCAACTGTCACTTCTCTGTTACTACATCACTATTTCATCATACTAATTTTCCCAACTGCTTTCCTTTTAATTTCTTAAAATGAGGCAATTTTTTTCCCAATTACTCAGCTTCAGGCAATTTTTTTTTTTAGTTACTAAGAATGGTATAAGGGCTAGGTGTGGTGGCATACACCTATGATCCCACACTCAGGAGGCTAAGGCAGATCACAAGTTTGAGGCCAGCCTAGGCTCTATGTAAGTTCAAAACCACCCTGAACTACACAGCAAGACCCCATCTCATGAAAAACCAAAACAGCAAAAAACCACAAAACAGCAACAGAAAGAATGGCCTAAGAAGTAAAAGAAACTAAGTCCTCCAAAACTGTCTAATACTGTGCTTCTCATTTATTCAAAAATACCTTTGCTTTCAAAATCAGCACAATATAAAGAAGATACACTGTCCAACCCGATATCCAGGAGGTGTGTGTGGCCACAAAGCACTGGGATGTGACTAGTCAAAACAAAGATGTGCATATTCATGTATAAATAAATAATGGAGTTCAACAATACCAAAAAACAGAATGTGATTTGATTTCATGTCAACATGAAAATGTTTTGGATATACTAGGGTAAATATAATATTAAAATTAATTTTCTCCTCTTCAGAAGTAGCTGAAGAATATTTAGAATTACATGTGATTTGCATTTATGGCTTGCACTGTATTTCTTTTGCACTGGTTCACCTAGGGATCAGGACAATAGAGTTAAGAACAGTATCACTTTGTTTCAGAATTTTCTCCATCACTGTTTGGCGCTTGTATGATTAAAGATAAATTTCCATTTATATCCCTTGTTAATTTGTTTGTTAATTATCTAAGCCTTATGTTCTCTTTCTTGAGCATTTTTAAGACAAAGCTGTATTAGCACAAAGCTATAGGTCCTCACCCAAAGGACTGTTTTTAATTGTCTGATTTAATGAAGGGCATTCCTCAAGGAAGTCTTCCCCCCTCACCAGAGAAAACTTTGTGATAATTAGAATCTGATGGCTTATGTACCAAAGAATGAAATATCATAGATAAAACTGGAAACAGACATTCAGTAAAACCAGCTCCCTTTTTATAAAGCCAGGAGGTCCTGGTGGGACTGAGAGCAAAGAGAGAACACGTACCTTAAGCAAGACCTCTACAATGCTGGCGTGGCCCTCGGAGGCTGCCATGTGCAACGGCGTCCGGTCAACCTTGGTTCTGGCATCCCTGCTCACACCGGCTCGGAGCAGCACCTCTGTGGTGGAGTAGTGGCCATACTGTGCTGCCAGGTGCAGTGGAGATGTTCCCAGCTGACACAGGAAACACACAGGACAACACACATGCAGCTGCACTTAGGACGCTTTTGCTACTATGATCTACCTTATAGCTTCTTTTACACAGTAAGCACACTATGCCATCTGTGTATATGGCCACTTGAAACTCCAAAGAAATTAGGTGATTGAAGCTTATTACATCTTAACAGAAGCCTTGAAGAATTCCCATTACTGTACTTAGTGAGGAAGAAAAGTCCATATTTAATTCAAATTTTCTTCATTATTTTTTACCAAAATTAATTTCATTAAGCAAAATTCATTTTATTACAAATTAGATACCCAAGGCTGGATAAATTTTTCTAAGTACTAGGATGTTCTATGCCAATCGCAGAAAATTTGCTAAAATAACTGCTGTTCGCCTATAAAATTCACCTAAAGTAAATGCAGTAGTGTACGTTTTTACAATAAGTAGACCAAAACTACTTTATAGAACTTAAAAAATACAACCCCTGATCTTTCATAAAGGAGTTCAGAGTCATTTTGAAAGGAAAACTCTGGTGCATTTGCCACTGAGTCTGGACAGAATCAAGACAGCTCAGTTCTGAAACGGGTTCTGTGGGGTCCAGCCCTTAAGTCAGCATCAAGACACAGAGAAGTACTGTGTGTACTGAAAGGCGAGAGAAGGAAGAGCTGCTAACGGAGGCACGGCTTCACACACATGAAATGTGGAACAGAGCTCTACCGTGTGCATTTAGAGGCACAGAAAACCCCTGCAACTCGACCGCCAAGCCCGACATTCCAAGGAGTGCAAGTATTCACTCGAACAGGAAATCTGCTAAGGCTACCACGGTAACAACAGCACTTAAGCTTTCTCAGCACTTTCTATGGAACACGCTGTTCTAACAACTTCACATACTGATCCTATGTCATCTCTTCGTAACACAGGTGGTACTGCTGCCCTATTCGACAGTAACAGAATCTAAGGCACAAAGCTTACCAACTGGCCTCCAGTCACACAGGGAGCTGTAACACCAGACTGGGCATGTGTTCTCAATGCATGGTAAAAACTGAAACCACTGACTTTGGGAATAATTACTTTAATACCACCAAAAACCATGTAATTTTAAGGGAAGGTCATTCTAGCAGATCAAAGGCAATTCCTGAACATCCCTTTTCCACAGCTGGTCCTATTTCCCATAGCTAGCCCTTTCTACACTCTTTAGTTCTCTGTTCGTTATTTTATGTTGTTGTCTTTTGGATATAGGGTATCACTATCCTGCCCAGGCTGGCCTCAAACTTGTGATCATCCTGCCTCATCCTCCCAAGTAGCTGGACATACAGGCATGTGCCACTGAGGCCAGCTTATACTATTAAGTGCTAGTATTTAACAGTATATTCAGCAACCATGAGTTTTTGTCAGTGTGCTACTGGGGCCCATTCTGTGTTGTTGTTGGGTTTTTGTGACGCGTTTTTATTTGTTTTCTTGAGACTTTCACTTTCAGTGATGGAAAATATATATATATATGTAGTTTAAAGAAAAAGCAAACATCTGTGAAGGTGTCACTACAGGCTAGAAATAAAACACTGCTAGGAAATCAAAAGCTTGCCGTATGTCACTAGTTATATACCTAGTGACACAGTTATATAGCCCTCCCTCAGCTCCAGGGATAAGCACTACTCAGGATTTTGTGACAAGCCGTGCTTTGTTTTTCTGTGTATCACTACCAACCTTAAATGACATATTTTGGACTGGCCCATCTGAACATTTTTTGAAACAGTGTTTCACTTTGTGGCTCAGGCTGGTCTCACACTCTCTGCAATCATCTTGCCTCAGCCTCCTGAGTGCTGGAATTACAGGAATGTGTCACCTCACCCAGCTATGAATCTTCTTTAAATAGAATTCTACTGTGTGTTTTTTGATGACTTCTACTGGCCTTCCGCTTAACATTATGTTCATGAGAATGACATGTTAATCACTGCCAAAGCCACTCACCAATTTTCTCAGCTCTACAATATTCCATTCAACCAAAAAACTTTTGGGTTGTTTCCAGTTTTGTTACTGTGCCTCCTCCTGCTGGGAAGTATGCTTGTGTAGGTGTCTTCAGCACATGAACAAGACTTCCCTCTACTGGCAGTGTCCTTAGATGTTTACCTGCTAACTCACAGGATGCACACGCTGAAACTCTCCTCCCAGTGACCACACCAACTCTCTCCTGCCCAAAGCATGAGAGCTCCCACTTCACAGTCTCCACACCAAGGCCTGGCACACCAGACATTTTCTGTTAATCTGGCAATTTAAAAGCATTTCATGCTTTTACTTTGCATTTGCCCAATTCTTAACACAGCTGAGCACCTTCGCACGTTTAGTGGCCATCCACGCTCTCGATAAAGTGCCACGCTGTGACATCTGTGCAGTCTTCTACGGCCTGTCTGCCTTTTTATTACTGATCCATAGGGCTGCTTATACCCCATGAACACTCACCCTTCTTGCGATCTGTCTGGATGCACTACACATCATTCGTAGTCTAGACAGATCTTTTAAAAATGGATCCTGCTGGGGCCTACAGGCTGTTGTCTTTCATCAGTTCTGAGAAACCCCCAGGGAGTACCTCTTCAAATGACTGCACCCCGATTCTCCCTCTCAGTTAGATGTATGTTAGACTTTCTCATGTTACCTTTCATGACTCAATCTCTCCTGTGTTTTCTATCTAATTTTTTTCTCTTATTATACTTTTTTTTTTTTCCTTCATGTCTTCTCCTTCAGTATACTAACTTTCTCTTTGCTTGTTTTTAACTTGTTACTGAAATCATATCTAACTTCCTTGGGATGTCTGCTTCTGCTTCAGTTGTTATAGGGAGGTTATCGTTCAGGGTGCCTCGTGTCTGCATGTTCAGCTGCTGGTAACTGTTTGTTTTCCTTGGAATTTCACCGGTGTATGTGCAGCCTAGAATACTGACAGATTTCTCCACAGAGGATATGCATTTGCTTCTGCCAGGAGCCTGAGTCATCCCTACTGCAAAGCCCACTTCAAATTCACTTCCACTGTTAAAGAATTAAGAGTAAAGAATGAGTACAGGCTACAGACATGCAAGGGATGGTTTTCAATTGCAAATTCTTACCAGTAAATTTTCCCCTCTTGGTTCAAGTAGGGCCACTTTCCTAGCAGCCCCTGGCACAGGAGCAGGGACAGCGGGTGGGAGGTGGGCAGGGCATTTCCCTTTGCCCTTATACTGAAGGTCCTGCTCTCTGGGATCCCCTATTAGATTCCCAATACCACACCAGTGAGGTGGGAACATCAATAGGCAAGCCTAAATTCAGCAAATACTTCTTGGGTAAAATGTCTTTGGGTTCTACCCTGCACTCAAGTTTTTCAAATTGACAAATGTTTATTTTCTATCCCATCAGTGCACTTTAAGAAAATTTTCTTGAAAATACTTAGTGAAAGACCCTTTTTCTCTTAAAGACAACTGCTGAAATATTTATGAATGAAATGGTATGGGTCCTCCGATGTGCTTTAAGTAACACAGAACAAAAAATGGGTGGAGCTATAGAGGAAGCAAGATTCACCATGATTTGATGATTTCTGAAATTGGCTGAAGAGTATGCAAGGCTTGATGTTTGAAACTTTCCATAAAAAAAAAAAAAAAACCTTTGTTTTATTTTACATTAAAAAATAAAAGAACAGGGATAAGTGAATGAAAAAAGTTTGAAATCTGGAATTTTTAATTGTCATCAGTGGGAGAATTCATCAGATTCCTTGCCCTCCACATTCCCAAAACCTTCCCTTTTGGTCTGCCCCTGGAATTAGTTACGGATTTTTCCTTCTTCCTACAACTGCAATCCACAATGACCAAGAATTCATCACCATTCCCTCCCCTTGATCAAGTGTGCAGCAGTTTTACAAATATCGATTGCAATGTATTTTTCTTTTTAGCAGTTATAATTCTAATCTTTATTATTACTTTTTAAATTATAAATTCTACCTGTGCTATTTATAAGACCTTTATATTAAATCCCAAGCAGCTAGGTTTTATATTCATTGTATCACATTTTACAGTCAGCTTATCCTCCAAAAGGCTAAAAGAAAAAATTTTGCAGATAGAATATTTAGATGAGGTTGTCAAACATAAGAAAATGTTACAAGCCATTCATTTTAAGGTAGTTATAATTCTAAAACAGAAAACAAACTCACAAAATTATCATCTATAAACATAACATCAACTAAATGTTTATCTGAAAAAAAAACTCAAAATATGAAAAGGGGAAAAAAAAGAAGAAAACCACAACATGAAAGTCATTTTTTACCCAGTCTGTGGTGAAAGGAGCGCCATTTGCCATCAAAATACGAACTTCATCATCTTGACCTGCTCGTGCCGCTTCTAAAAGCTTCTTTCCCAAATCTACCAGGGACATCTAAACAAAACAGAGGAACTGAATGTCAACATCTCCACTTACACATCATGATGTGACTTTTTCCCTCTTGTCTATTAATAAGTCCATTCTTAGTTATCTCCTTAAAAGGGTGATGTATGGTTAATCTAGAACTACAGATCACACAGAAGCAATTTGTATTTGGATTTTTGAAAGGTGTTTTCCTTGCTCATTAAGTTCTTATCTAGGACAAAACTGACTGTTCAAATACAACTGGAAAAAGACAGGAGGTAAATAAAAGAGAAAAGCTGGTCTAACCTTTAAAACTGGCAACTGTTTCCACTGTAAGAGGTACAGCAAAGTCATCTTCTATGTAGTAAGTAAGGTATAAGATACTGTCTTCAGTTACTAATACAAATGAAACTAAATCTGTAACTTATTTTTGCAATGAAGTAAACATGTCTGGAATTTTAAAATAAGTATTTCCTATCCTTGTAAATGTACTTAGGCTTATCCAGAAAAGGGCACAATGCACAGTTCACAAAAATACTGAAAAGGGAATCTGCGAGTCCTGTGAGTACAGTCTGTGTCTCACTAAGAAGCTGGAAATACCACTGTATCCTGAATTCAGGACACCTAGAGAGGAAGTGAGCAAGCATCTTCTTCAATAAAAAACATTAAAACGTGTCTGAGAAAGGTCATGGCACAAGTATGTAAGTAAAGAAAGAACTTGAAGGTACCAGGGATGCTCTGGTTCAGGAATGATGATTCTGAAGGAAGTCTGCAAACCCAAAAAGATTACCCAGGTAGAAGACTGCTCAATGTTATACAGCAGGTACCTGAAGGGAAGGCAAACAGGTAGAGGTTAGGTCTGCAGCAAGGGAAGGGAGGTAACAGAACCTGTAAGGGCTGTACACAGGGAAAATGTGCCTGGGGTGTGGATCTGTCTCACCTTACCTCGCTCTAGGAGGGCTAGGTGAGTACAGTAGTCAGGGAGACATAAGCTGGAAGGGAGGAAGGCCAGGCTGACTGGTGCAGCCCCAGCTCGTGTGAACAGCTATTACTCAAGAAAGAAGAGAGAAGAGGGTGTGTGGAAGCAGACAGATTCAGCTCGAAAAGGCTACTCTGCCAAGAAAAAAGACAGCACAGGATGTAACCACAAGGGGTGTTAGGAACCTGCAAAGGTAACGGCAAGATGCCCAAGAAAGAAGTACACTAATTCATGCTATTTTCAAGAGATTCTATGCGAGCAACTAAGCACAAGAGTAAGTGGGAGTAGCCACTGACACCAGGAGGCTTCCACAGGAACTAGGTGAGCTGCACACACCCAAAACAAGCATTTCTCACAGCGCACAGGAGAACTTCCTAAAAGTGTTCCATTTGTAATGACAAAAGTAATTCACATCACTGTCTGCAGTGAGATTAAGAAAACATGCATTTGTGGATTTTATGTGGAGTTTTAAATGTGCTTTTTTATGACACTTGTGACATTTCAAACACTGAATTTCCAATTTCAGGGAAGTCCTTAATCCAACTGAGGGCATTAAGATCCTTAAGGAGATCACTGTGATTTTTTTCCCCTTAGAAAATGTACAGTGGCTTAATAGCAAAACTTAACATCATATTCAAAACCCAAAAAAACAGCAATGGTAATTTCCCACTAAAGGTTGCATAAGGAAAATGAAAAATGAAAACCGACCTCCTCTCCTATACAAATACAGTAAAATTTACCCTGTCCCACTAATAAACACAGCACCTACACTCTGGGTGCACAAATTCTGGCATAAGCCTAGCCCTAAAATGGCGTGTGTCCTTCAAAGTATGTCCATTTTCAAATACTTTATACAGAAAATAAACTAGCTTGCTTTCCTTCGGCCCACCCAGTGCTACATGTTGTAGCTATCTGGATCTCTTTTATAAAGTGCCTGTTTCAGACTTCTTATTTTTTATTTTTTTATTTTTTATTTTAAAGAGTAAAAGAAGGATAACAATAATGGGGGGGAGCTTACCAAATTACAGACAAAGTGGCAGGAAATTATCAATGGTTATTGTTTTACATATTGTTATCTACAAGACAGTTTCTCAGGAAAACAAATAGACAAATAATAGTGAGTTACAGACAAAAGAGGTAGGAGATTATCAATAGTTGTACTCTACTTAGGTATCTTTGAAAGAA